ATCTAAAAGCCCATTTTTTCACAAGAATCTTCATTTCACTGAAATCTTTAAATCTAAAGTCACACACTTAATAGTTTTGCAGTGTTGGGAATCAAAATCTGATGCACTATCATGATCCTATGAGCCAATAGTTCAGCCTTTTATTTTCCTGAGATGGTTGCTGATATTATTTACTAACTGCTTACAGAATCAGCAGTTTTTCAGAGAAACAACTTGAAGTATACTTTTGTTGTTTCACATGAACAACTTTTGTCATTAGAAAACTCAAGGAAAGTTAGAAAACCGTTACAAGAGTAAAACAGAATCAGAACTTCAAATTTTCTGTTGTGGAGCATCTACTATAGAAACTGATCTGTTAGATTACTCTGCCAAGTTTTATGGATCTCTAAAATGTAGTTGGCCGTTATTACTGTTTTAATTAAAATGAGGCATTGCATAAGTGTCTATGTAATTTATATTGCTTTGCTGAGCTTTTAGTAAATAATGTTTTCATAAAGATCTGAGTCAGCATCCTTTGCAACTGCTTATTAGCTGGCTAGATCAGCAGCAAGTTAAAACTGTAAGGGAGAAATTGTTTAATATATTCTTTAAGTAAACTCTCATCCTGAATAGTGCACCAGAAGCATTAAAATGTAGCTATAGATAGATTTTCAGAAAAACAGTTCTGGAATTAAATAGGAGACTGTGTCCCCTATCCAACTGGAGCTATGTACATTTAATAACTCTGGATGAATATGAGCATCCTCATCCAGATGCTTCTAGCCTGTTCAATGAGACCCAGGTGAGCACTGTACATCAAGATGCTCATCAGCATCAGTTCCCTACAAGGAAGGCTTCTTCCCTGGGCTGATCTCCCTTGATAGATCAGTCTGTTAATTTTTAAATAGGTACACATCTGGCATAACCATATAGATCCAAATCCAGAGTTTAACATATGTGAAAGATTCCCAGTAATTCTATGAAGAAATTGTTCATTGTGCCTTGCAAGCATTTCACATAAAACAGATTCCATAAATGTACATAAACTAGACTGGGCTAGATTAGAATAGTGAAGCTTCTGGATGTACCTAGATCCAAGCTGTTATAAGTAAGCAATTCCCATTGATTTCCCTAGGCTGTTTCCTCAGCAAGATGTTTTGGCTTTGGGTCATAGCTGGCACTGATTTTTAAGAGAAAAATGGACATATTTATATAGATTAAAATTAAACTGCTATCATTTGGAAAATGTCCTTTTTAGCCCATTATAGCATATCACATAGATGTCTCAGAAGGCCCAACACTTCAGTGCCAAAACCCTTTGCTAATTATAATGCTGCACTTGCTTAGTGCCCAACTCAGGCAGGATTTAACCACATGCTGATCTCTGATTTATTCCAATAAACACTTCTGCATGTCCTTGATTCCTACTATATTCGCAACTGAATCGGAGTCTCAGATTCTGGGAAAAGAATGAAATACAAGGAGAATGTTAGAAATATGTCTTCACAATTGACCTGAACAGAGGGCAATATAAGTCTTGGCACAATCCTTTTCTCCCTTCCTTGCTGCTGCTTTGTCTTATTTTACTTCTTTCTAGTGAAAGTTATCCAGTTGATCAAAGTGCTTTGTTAATTTTTGACAGATAGAAGTGGCAGCCAGCTAGCAAGGGCAGGAGTGTGCAAGACTGATTGAATGGGAATTCACCTCACTGATATTCTTCTCAGTCAGTTGTGAACATGTAGGTGTTTTCCACACAGGGTCAGACTTGTTTGGTTTTCCTACTGGGGCTGCTGATACTGTGGAGCGGCAACAGGGCTTCCACATAGCAGGTTTCCCTGCCCCAGTCCCCAGGTAATGGGCATCCCTCCCATGCCACGGGGTTTTTTTCAGGTTTTTTTTTGTTTTAATAAACTCCTTTAATTGTAGAGATGCACATTTTCTCTTATATATCTCCTAATTTGGCTAGAGACTTATTTAAAAAAATGAAATCTGGGAATGCAGATAACCTGCTACAAAGATCCTAACAGCATTATAACAATAGAACAATATTCAATTACTAATTTTAAAAGACACAAAAATATCCTGCTGGTTTTGGGGGAAATGGCTGCTGTGAGGACAGGTTGCCAAGTAGGTGGGATTGGGAATATCTGAACTTCCCAACCACATGGCAGACAGCCAGTCTTTGCTGTGATCTTTCCAAAGCTTCTAACAAAAACACATTTACAAAAGATGAGGAAAGCCCAGGAGGTGCACAAATGCTCCATGATGCTTTTGGGTGGGAACAACAGCATTGAACCTGTTGAAAGTAACCAATGTAGAAAAGATTTTTCTCTCTGGTGTGTTTAAAGGCTATGTTAGGGGACCCTCATAAATAGCATATGGGGTAAAGTTGAAGGTGGAAATACATAGAACCAGGGCTCTACTGGTAGCAGGAGCTCCTTTGCATATTAGGCCACATACCCCTAGTGTAGCCAATCCTCCAAGAGCTTACAGAGCTCTTCTTACTGGGGCTACTGTAAGCTCTTGGAGGATTGGCTACACAGGGGGTATGGCCTAATATGCAAAGGAGCTCCTGCTACCAGTAGAGCCCTGCATAGAACTATCCTGCCCCTTCTGATGGAAATGCCCTTCTGTCATTGGGAAAGGATCATAGGATCCAAGCCATATTTGGGTTGCACTAAATATTTTACTGAGAGGGAAGAATTTTGCTTTCAACAAATAAAGTATATACACATTATTCATTTATTGTCCTCCTCAGCTTCCAGCATCTTGTGTTGCTTTGTTATTGTTGTGTCATTTTATAAGACCACCACATTGTAATTGTCATATTCACTGCATATGCTATTATTCATCTTGGTCATCAATATAGTCATTAACATTGCATTATATGGATATTATGGGTTAAGGTTTTAACTGTTCCATTATTTAAGCTATAAAGCTAAAGACATTTTAGATTTTCTCCTTTTTTCCTCTTTCCTATGTAAGCATTGTTGACACTCTTTAAGTAAGCATATTCTTCTATGTGATTTCTGGCTACCAAGAAGTTATTGGGATTGATGCACAGGCAGAACTGATGCACAGCTCACATCAACAGGGGAATGAGATGGAAGCAATTTTACCTGGTTCCCTGGCTAAAAGTCCATTTTGCCAATTCCTTCCCTAATCTCTTCATCTGAATTCAATTAATTAATGTTAACAGACCCAAGATTTAATGCTGGGTATCCTGATCCTGATTATATTTATTACAATAATATAAGTGAAACTTACTTCCAGGATCACTGGCAATTGTGTTATTGTTTAAAGTCTTCAATGACTAGAAAAAGTGTGGAAATTCAGATCCAAGAACATCCATACATTTGTCATCTGTCATTGCATAAATCTTTTTCAAAGTGTTGTTTCCATTTTTAACTGTTATCTGTATGTGTCTGGGATTATTGAGTCAAATCATTTTTTTACCCTGTTGTTCATAAATTTATCATGTTCCTAAAAGTGATATCCTGTACCAGGAGTCTGAAGTTTCCTTCAACTTATTGTAACACAAATGTTTTGATGGTGTTGTAACAGGATCAGAATTGATGCCAAAAGCTCTGTCCACCAGAATAGTTGGAGGAATATGGTGGTTTTTCACCTTAATCATAATCTCATCCTACACTGCTAATTTGGCTGCCTTCTTAACTGTTGAGAGAATGGAATCACCTATTGATTCAGCAGATGATTTGGCAAAGCAAACCAAGATAGAGTATGGAGCTGTTAGAGATGGATCAACAATGACCTTCTTCAAGGTAAGATGACAAGTACCAGATTTTGCATCAATGAGAGATGCACTAAGGCTTTGTAATTATATTAAATAGTAAATTTGGATGAAGGAAACAAGTCACAGCACTGGAGTTCCTTGATGTATGCATGCAAGAATTGCTTTTGGAATTGAAAAAGATTGGGTAATTTACCAAATCTGCATTTTCAAATGCAAGATGTTGGCTCAAAACCATGCTAGACTCATAAAGAAATTCTTCATATTTATTTTTATCACCTTTTTTGTTGTTGTTCAGTCGCACAGTCGAGTCCGACTCTTCGCGACCCCATGGACCAGCTCCCGCCAGGCCTTCCTGCCTTCCGTCGTCCTCTGAAGTTGGCTCAATTCCATGTTCGTTGCATCTTTGACACTGTCTAACCATCTCATCCTTTGCCGTCCCTGTCTTCTTTGACCTTCAATCTTTCCAAGCATCAGGGTCTTCTCCAGTGAGTGCTCCCTTCTCATTTGGTGGCCAAAGTATTTGAGCTTCAGTTTCATTATCTGGCCTTCCAGGGAACAGTCAGGGTTGATTTCTTTTAAGATTGACTGATTTGATCTTCTTGCAGTTCAAGGGACTCTCAAGAGTCTTCTCCAGCACCATAGTTCAAAAGAATCTATTCTTCGGCGCTCGGCCTTCCTTATAGTCCAACTCTCGCAGCCATACATGACTACTGGGAATACCATTGCTTTGACCATGCGGACTTTTGTTGGCAGGGTAATGTCTCTACTTTTTATCATGCTGTTTAGGTTCGCCATCCCTTTCCTGCCAAAGAGCAGGCGTCTTTTAATTTCATGGCTACTGTCACAGTCTGCGGTGATCTGAGATCCCAGGAATGTGAAGTCTGTCACTACTTCCACGACTTCCCCTTCTATTTGCCAAGGAGTGATGGGGCAGGATGCCATGATCTTAGTTTTTTTGATGTTGAGCTTCAAGCCCACTTTTGCACTCTCCTCTTTTAAAGCCCACTTTCAAGCCCACTTTTGCACTCTCCTAAAGAGCAGTCTGAGCAAGAGGCTCTTTAGATCCTTTTCACTTTCAGCCATTAGAGTGGTATCATCTGCATATCTGAGGTTGTTGATCTTTTCCCCAGCAATCTTAATTCCCGCTTGTGATTCATCCAGGCCAGCATTTCGCATGATGTACTCTGCATATATATTAAATAAGCAAGGTGACAATATACATCCTTGTCGTACTCCTTTTCCTATGCTGAACCAATCAGTTGTTCCGTATCCGGTTCTAACTGTCGCTTCTTGGCCCTTATACAGGTTTCTCAAGAGACATGTGAGGTGGTCTGGTACTCCCATCTCTTTAAGGACCTGCCATAGTTTGTTGTGATCCACACAGTCAAAGGCTTTAGCATAGTCAATGAAGCAGAAGTAGATGTTTTTCTGATACTCTCTTGCTTTCTCCATAATCCAGCGAATGTTGGCAATTTGATCTCTCGTTCCTCTACCTCTTCGAAACCCAGCTTGTACTTCTGGCAGTTCTCTATCCACGTACTGTTGAAGCCTAGCTTGTAGGATCTTGAACATGACCTTGCTAGCGTGTGATATGAGTGCAATTGTGCGATAGTTTGAGCATTCCTTGGCATTGTCCTTCTTTGGGATTGGAATGTATACTGACCTTTTCCAATCCTGTGGCCACTGTTGCGTTTTCCAAATTTGCTGGCAAATTGAGTGCAGCACTTTAACAGCATCATCTTCTAAGATTTTGAATAGCTCAGCTGGGATACCATCACCTCCACTAGCTTTGTTGTTAGTAATGCTTTCTAAGGCCCATTTAACTTCACATTCCAGGATGTCTGGCTCAAGGTCAGTGATTATACCGTCGTGGTTGTCAAGGACATCGAGGTCTTTCTTGTATAGTTCTTCTGTGTATTCTTGCCATCTTTTCCTAATCTCTTCTGCTTCTGTTAGGTCCCTACCGTTTTTGTCCTTTATCACCTTTAGGTACCAGCTAAAACTGATATTAGAATAAGATAACTACAGAAAACTGGTCAAAATGGCAAGTTGGTAGAGAATAAATGTGAGCTGCCTACATAACTTCCAGCTACCATTTTTGTGTTTGATGTGAAAACAGCATTTGAGCCAGTCTTGAATAATTTTGGCATTCTAAAATAGTTGAAAATGTGCAATATTGCAGTGCAATGAAAGATAGTAGTTAAAATAAAACAAGGAAAAAAGGAATTTGGGTACACAGAAAACCTTTTCCCACAGAGAGCTCAAACACATTAGATATTTTATGGACAATTTGTTTGAATGATGGGAATTTGGGCAACAGAACAGAACTGCAGAACAGAAAATGCTGTTGTTAACTGTTTGGACTTGTATATATAGTGGATCCACAGCCAGGAATATGGGATTGACAGATACTCAGTTTGTGTGTTTACCACCCATTCATAGCCAAAAGAGTAACTTGCTGGATGATTAGCCAGATCAGCCTCTTAACAGCAATAGGCCAAATTTGAGGTGGAAATATTCCCTGATCCCTATGAAGGCTTCCAAATCAGGCTTGTTCACTAGTCTGAGCAACTGGGGTGTAATGAAATCTTCATATCAAGAAGATTCTAGATTTTTGTCAATGTATAGCCCACTTTGCTAGTATTTCTGGAGTTGCCTGTTTTATATACAACATTAATTTAACTCATAATAATCCATGTCAGTCTAGAGTTCTAAATCATCTTACTTTGGCATAATCTCCTTAAATTTAATTTAGTTCATAGGGATTGTGCTAGAGTAATTGGTTTTGAGCTCTGAGACCAAGTACACCAACAAACTATGAATATGGTAAATATAAACAGCAGTTGGTAATCTCAGGGAGGCCAAACCTGAACAGATGCAGGTAATTATAGTTATCATCTTCCCCTGTGGGATGCAAGCATGATACACAGAGACAAAGCTAACCTTTAGGAAGCAATCATTCCAAAGAAGCTGCAACAGATTGGCAAAGCAATGGGAATTTGGAAAGAAATATGCTTCTGCTATCTTTGTGAACAAATATTTTCCATTTCTATAGTTGCCAGTCTGACATTTTAAATGGCTGCTCTCAGTTAGGACCTACAGGTTCTCTAGTTCATATTGAAACTGTATTGCAGACGGAAAGGGGCAATTAGCAGGTTGTAATTTTGATATTTCTCAAGCTTCTCAAAATTAACAATTTTACTTTTTAAAAAAATCTGATAATTTATTAAAGTATACATGTATTTCTTTTACACAGTAGGGTAATTATTGAAAATGATTGACTTCCTTGATACTTTCAATCACGTTAAGCATCCTTGCTCCTTGAAAAACAGATAAACTAACTTTATTACTAAGGCAACTAATATCCTCTGTGTTTGCTCTGTGTGTTGTTCAGAGGGATTTCTGCCTTACTACTATAAAAAACAGAAAAAACTCTTTAGTTATATCTTTTAATTTTGAAATCCTCTATTTTTACTTTGTAAGCTAAATACTTTCCTGTCTCTGTAATACAACTTAGATCAGGGTGGCCAGACTGTGGCTCAGGAGCCAATCTTCCCTTCCCCAGCTAGTGTCCCCTCCCAAGTAGGCTTGAGGTGGGGGGAGCAGAGAAAGAAAGCAACTTTAAATGCATTCTTCGCTTAAAAGAAAAAAAGGGAGGGGTAGACAGTGGGAGAAAGAGAAAGCTGAGTGATATATAAACTGGTAAATTAAACTGTTAGTAATGTCCAATTAATCTTCTTGGGCTTCTTCTGTGTGTTGCCAAACTTCTTTTCTTAGTCCTGTTACATGTATTCTCTGTTAGTATGTTAGTAATGTTCCTTTGAGATTCTGTTAATAAAAAGGGTCTCTTCTGTGCACATTCAGAACCGCTTCTTTGCGTGCTGGGTACTTTTACTATCGCTGACGTGGAGGAGCTTCCTCTGTTGTCTTCCTTCCGGCTTGTTAGATCCTCCTTCGGGTTGTTGTTAATACGCTCAGTTCATGTACTATAAATCCTCTTCCTTTCATGCCTCGGAGGTCCCCATTTTCGAGAATGGTATCAATTTCATTTTTGCTTTTATATTCGCTCCCAGACTCTCTATGGGTCCTCCTCGCAATTGTTGACTTATAAGCGCTTATCAGGCACTTCTCGCTGTCACAATTCCAACTTATCTTTTTTGCAAAACTCCCGTCGGATTCACAGCCATAAACAGTCCAAACATTCAACAGCCGGCTCTTGCACACAAACCAACGCCCAGACCCTCCCTCCTTCTCCGCTCGCTTTTGCCCAGCTCCGACATCTTTTCTTTTTTGTTTACTTTTAGAAAGTTCTTAAAATGTGCTCCAGAGAGACAAGTTTCTCGCTTTCAAATACATCAAAGGAAAACATCACTGTCCGCTCAATTCATCCCCCCCCCTCCTTTTCTTTTTCGCTTGTATAGATGGAGGATTAACCTCTTCGCCTTTTTCGCTGGGAGGGGGGGGAAACAATTTTCAGTTCTTTTTCTCTGCATTTTGACAACTCACAGTTAAGCCGATCTTTTCTTTTTCTTTTCAATTTTTCCGGATGGTCGCTTTATCACTCGGTGACGTCTGGTGGCTCCGCTAAACCCCGTTCGGGGTCGCTCACGCAGCAAGGTCCATTGGGGCAGGGCATGGCGGGAGCCTCACTCTCCGACCTCTCGGCCGAAAGAGCGACTCATAGGGGTATTTCCCCCCCCCCGTTGACTGGCTTGTAGAAGGCATTTGTCTCTTTAAATTCCTTCTCCAAGCCAAGCCAGCCAGGGGGAGGTGGAGTTTGGAGGATGCATTTAAAGTTAAAGTTGCTTTCTTTTTACCTCTCCCTCCCTTCCTCCCCCCATCTGTTTGCTTTCTTTCCACTTTCTTTCCATCTCTCTCTCTCTCTCTCTCTCTCTCCTCTCCCTTTCCCATATAAAGTTAATTGTGTTCTCTAAGCCCTGCCACACTGGCTGATTGACTTGGCTCAGAGAAGGCATTTGTCTCTTTAAAACCCTTCTCCAAGCCCCTACCTTGCGGCCCCACCGGCTGACTTCTTTCTTTCCACCTCTCTCTCTCTCTCTCTTAGACAAAGAAGTATTATTAGCAAACAAATAAATATCATTGGAAAAATAAATATTATCAATATCTGTTTTTCCCCTTTTGTCTTTATTTTTGGCAGTCTAATTTAATGTTAATAAAAATCAAATGTGCATATTTTTCAATTAAAACCTGTGTGTAATATTTGTTCATATCTTGCGGCTCTCAAACGTCTGACGCTTGTTCTATGTGGCCACCCCTGACTTAGACCATTAATCCTAAAATGGAAGTGGAATCTACACCCGAAAATGGTACCCATGATTTTATTACTGTTGACAGAACAGATCACTTTCAATATTTATTTATTTATTTTTGGATTTATATCCCGCCCTCCCCAAAGGCTCAGGGCGGCTCACAAGGAGACATAAATGCCAAGGTTAAAACAATAAAACAATATAAAGAACAGTATAAAATACAGTATGATACAATTCACTAAAATATCGGTGCTCCAAAAAGTCACTTAAATCATGAATTCCAATATGGGGTTCTGGAGTAATAGTGGTATCCGCTATTTTGATTTCCTTAGGAACCTTATAGATACTGAGGCATTCAGCTCATATTCTGCCATGTTGCTGCTGGGCTTCAGCAAAGTCACTTGTGAGGCTTTGGGGAGATCTACTCAGAATGTACAGATTGTCACCCACTGTTGGGGGAAAAAAGATGAACAACATATGTGAAGGATCTGTTCCAATTCTGGTTTAAAGAGTGATGGACAACAGCAAAGGAGGAAAACAGTGTGAGAGCCCCACAGGTTCACCCCTTCTTACTGCATCCCAAACAGTAATTGGGGCTGTTTGGTGGGAGAAATGACCCTGTGTCATTTCTGATTAGGGGGAAACTGAAAACACTAAAATCTTTTTAACTAGTTTATTATATTGTTGGTTTAGGGGTTTTTCTAGATTCTAATTGTGGAAATATATGCTGCGTTATGGTAAAATATGAGTAACAGAAATGTTTCTGGTGGTGCATACATGCACAAATAACCTTGACATTTAAGTCAAAACGATGTTCTCCATAAGATAGTGCAGCAGAATAATAAAACTGACATGACAAAAGTTCAAATAATAAAAAGCTTTAAGTTGAATGTACATTATACGTTGAACACCAAGGTAGCATGTTACTGCTTTGAGACCATTCTTGGAGATTTATTTATAGAAGTATCATGTTTAGTACAGAATTAACTAGATTGACCCAGGATAGAGACAAAGGGGGTGAAATCCAGTTGTTTAATGAAGGGAGTGTGGACTCTTCTTATAATCTGTTCCCATATGTAGCCATATAGAGAAATATATAAATGCCACTGGGGTTTACAAAAATCTGGAAATAATTGGAACCAAGATATAAAAGATCCTCATCTATATCATCCAGAGGAGGCTTCATATGTTTTGTTTTGATGCTGACTTACAGCCACTCCAGTGGGGTTTTCAAGGCAAGCGATGTTCAAAGGCTGTTTACTAATACCTGCCCTGTGTCATGATCCCAGTATTGTTTGGTGGTCTCCCATCCAAATACTGATTAACTTCTGAGATCTGGCAATATTGGGCTAACCCCCAGGTTAGATACCTGACCTAGCATATAGAAGATACACATGGGGGGGGGGGAGATTTTAGGAGAGTTTAGAAACACATCCGCAAATAATATAACTACTAAAAAGTAGCATTTCAGCCAGTTATGATAAGAGCAGCATCAGAGAGCCATAATGTCTTTATTTAGCATACTAGGAGTAATGCCCGTTGTGGGAAGAAATACAATGAGATCTAGAAGGAAGCTCCAAATGAGTGTCCCGACTGTGGCTGGTGGGGCGGCAAAGGGAAGCAGAAAATGGAGGGAGGCAAGCCATGTTTCTTTCCTTCTGCTTAGCTATAAGGCAGGGCTGTCTCTGACATTTTGCTGCCCCAAGTGGGTAGAATGGGAGGACAGCCTCATGGTAACAGATATGGTTCTCTCCACCTCTGACTTATTTTTTGACGGGGAGGGGGGTGTTATGCAATGGCAACTAAGGTAGAAAAGCACCTCCTCCAGTGCCATGTTTTCTGGGTTCCAAGGGTCTGGAAAGTGGTACCATAGCCAATTACACGGTTGCCAACTCTGGGTTGGGAAATACCTGTAGATTTGAGGGGTAGAGGCTGGGGAGGGCAGGGTTTGGGGTGGGGAGGGACCTCAGCAAGGTATAATGCCATAGAATCCACTGCCCAAAGCAGCCATTGTCTCCAGAAGACCTGATCTTGGTCATCTGGACATTAGTTTTAATAGCTGGAGATCTCCAGGTGCCGCCTGGAGGTTGGCTTATGTTAATTTGGGGCTATGCAGTCACAGCTAAGGTAGAAAAGCGCCTCCTCCTGTTTTAATAGCTGCATATGGCATCTGTGTTCTGACTGGCTGTGGGGGGGGGAGGAACAGCAAACTTTTTAGAATTTTGGAGGCAGGACTCAGGCAAAGCAGCCAGTGGATAGGGAGACCCTCTGAATGACAGATCAGAGAGCAAACTGATTTTGGAGCGTGTTGGAATGTTCAGGGGAGTCCATGACCAAAATAGAATTATATATACCGGAGGATTGGCACTTCCAATGGTTTTTCCCCTTTCCATTTGGCTTTCTGAGGTACATTTGTTTGAGAGAAAATGACTGCAGTAGGTTCTATGGTGAATGGTGATTTGAGCCTAGGCCTTTGAAGGCCTTGCCCAGTACTCTCACCACTCCTTCATTCTGACTTTTTGTATATTTTAAGAAGCAAAATTTGTCAAATAGCATATATTGCATGTATTTAAAAACTTGCCTTTCCAAAATTAAAAAATCTGAAACCTACATTATGAATTTAAAACAGAACAAAACATGGATTTAGAAATAAATTCTGAGGACTTTGTAAATATGACAACTCAGTTCTTGAGTTCATTTTTTTAAAAGTCTCCACATTCTTTTTTTGAAATTGATAACATATAGCCTATAACTGTTTTGAAGAACAATGCATTAGATCATTCCCAGGCAAAGCAGCAATATAGTTCTTCTGCTCTATGAATCTTAAAGTACAACAGAACTTATGTACCTTCACTATGTGTCTTCACTGTACCCTGTGTGTGACAAAAGGCACTAAGAAATCAAGGGCTCAATATGCTGTTGGATGGAAATGGAACACATTTGTAATAGTGCATATGTGGGACTGAATGCAGTAGGAAGTGGGAAGGGATCCTAATCTCTCTCTCCTCAAAGATGACACTATCCGGGGGTATCCAGGGATATGTTATAATTTAAAAGTATAAACAAGGTCCTTGTCTGATGCTTCTGATTTTTCTCTTTAGAAATCCAAAATATCAACATATGAGAAAATGTGGGCATTTATGAGCAGCAGGCAGCAGACAGCACTGGTGAAGAACAATGATGAGGGAATCCAGCGAGTGCTCACCACTGACTATGCCCTCCTGATGGAGTCTACCAGCATAGAATATGTCACCCAGAGAAACTGCAATCTTACCCAGATTGGTGGACTCATTGATTCCAAAGGTTACGGTGTGGGGACTCCTATTGGTAAGAGACTAATATTAAGCAATTATTGCCAGGCTGTGACAGGTAGGGCAACTGTAAGATTTTAAGAAGTGGTTTGGGAGTATCTGTCAACCACAGCTCATTCTTGTCCAAGTCTATGCAGAGGCTGGGAGCCATGCAGAGGTAGGGAGAAGAATGAGATGTTAGATACTCCTGGGAAAGGGTCTCTTTTGACAACTGGCACTGCTGGCACTGCCAGACATCCATTACAGCAGCAGAATTCTGGGCACAATAGTTGGTGGGGAAGAAGAAAGTTATATTGAAGATTAGGGGAAACACTCTATGCCATCTCTTTCACATGTGCAGGACTACATTCTTCATATACCTAATAGATACAGACACATTTAGCAATTTATGTTTGTACACAGAGGTCGATTTGGGGGGGATCGCCGGGGATCGCCATTCCCCAGTGAGGGGCGGGGGGCGGGGCACACGACGAAGCCCCGCCCCAGGACGCCTTCAGCTCCATCAGGCAGAGCTGCCACCTTGACCTGCCGCAGATCGCCATGGTGGTGAGCGGGCAGAGCGCCGGCAAGAGCTCCGTCCTCGAGAACTTCGTCGGCCGGTCAGTCAGTCAGACAGGCCAATGGGGGAGGGTGGAAAGAGGGCCAGGCGCACCAGACTCAGGCCGCACGTCTCCAGCATCGCCCCCCGCTGCCGCCACTGCAGCCGGGCCGGGCCGGGCCTGGGCAGAGATGCCACTTCTGTCGCCGGGGCCTGCTCCCTCAGTCAGCCTCAGCCTCTCGCCCACTTCTGCGCCCTCCTTCTCGGCTTGCTGGGCAGCCAGCCCACCACGCTCGTTTCTCGCGAGAATGGAGCTGGCCGGAATGTTGCCGCCCGCCCAAGAGCGGGAGAGGTTGGGGAAGGGCCCCGGTGGGAGGCAGTGGCCGGGCCCGGTCTCGCAGGCCAGTAGCTAGCGTGGGGCCCCTGGGGCCTGCCCCCCACAATTTTAATGGGGCCCCCTCCCCCGATCCTTGCTCCCCGTCCCTCCCCGAGCATGCGTCTGTGCGGCAGCAGTGGTGGGGCCAGCAGCCTTGACAGATGCTGCTTCTCGCTGCAGGCAGGAGAGGAGAATGAGGAAGTGGCAGCAGCGACACAAGCAGCAGCAGCCGCCACCCTAGAGGGGTGCACAAGCGAGCCGGCGAGGATGGGCAACCAGCCTAGGCAATCTGAGGAGTCAGAGCCAGGTCTGTGGGTGGGCGAGGGGTGGGTGGGCAGCTGAGTCTGGTCTCGCCTCGTGCGACCGTCGGGACACCCCGGCTTGTTGCCTTCTTCAGCTGGCCACTTGGCGCTCCCCCTTTGCACCCAGGACGGAGCCGCCCCCTGGCTTGGCAGATGGTCTCCATCCTCGAGCCCAAGCCATGCCGCCACAGCTGAAAAGGAGCCAGGCGGAGGTCTGGGGATGGTCAGGGCACTTGCTGGTGGCCAGTCGCAGAGAGAGGTGGAGAGAGAGCGCCCCGGCGCACCCGTAAGACCCGAGGGCTCATCCACGGTGCCAGGGCTGTCCCTGCTGTTGGTGGCGGCGCTCTCCTCCCCCCTTGGTCGCAGTCGGGGCTGCCTTAGGAGTCCCAGCAACTAAATCGAAGTTAATTTAATTAACTTTGATTGGCTGGTGCCCCCCCGGCCCCCTCCCCCTAAACTTCTTAGCTAATGGGCTGCCGGTCTGCTGTCTGGTCGAGTTGCCAACTCTGATGGGGCGAATTCCTGGGCATTTGGCGGGTGTGGCCTGAGGAAGGAAGGGTTTTTCAGTGTTCCCTCTAAGCTGAGTGAGTGAGAGCCGGCTCGCCGTTTCCTAGGCTCTGGCTCACACATTTCTGTCTTCGCTCAGGGAGGATGGGGCTCCAGAGCAAACTTAATTTAAGGAGTAGCCAAATGTCTCGACCCCCCCCGGTGCCTCACTCCCTGAGCGCCATACTGGTGCACTGTGGCCCCAACTGAGGCCTGTCTTTACCATTAAGTAGTTGAAGGATCTTTAAAACTGGCTTGAACTCCATTTATTAATTATTTGAATGAAAAACTCAAAATTGGTAGATAACTTGTAATGGCAATCCTTGATTCACCACAGACTTAATGATCATTTTGTAATTGTTTTTCATTCATGCTTTACTAAGTACTGCATTGCATTTTATTTTAATATTCAATAGTTTAATATTTTTTTAAAAAGTGGAAGAAGCCTTAGACCTTATTTAGACCTTGTTTGACACAGTCGGGTTTCTGGATAAATCCTTGTTTCTCAACCTTGCAGTCTGAAAATCTATTAAGTTGCTTCAGTATAGCAGCTAGCATTTCTACTAGCATGCAGAACTACTTGTCTACAAAAAATAACAACAACCTTATGTTCTATACATTTACAAAAAGTCTATCAGTGTCATACTAAGGCATTACAACCTTATATGTCCCCCTGACTTCAATAGACTTAGAAGGATAAGACTCCATTTAGATTGGCACTATATAGATCAAGAGTGTCAAACACATTTGATACAACAGATGTATCTGACATAAATGGGACATTGTGGGGGCCAGGCCATGTGTGTCATAAAATGTAATGCCAGGTAGCACAGATATAAACTTTAGGGCTGCCAGGTGGGGGCGGGGGGCGGGGAAACCCCCACTTTGGAGGCCCGATTTCCACCGCGGCGGAATCGGGCCCAGGGGGAAACCCCGCCCCCCGAAGCTGCGTCACCAGAGGTGACGCACGACATACAACACGACATATGGTTTCCCCCTGACGATCTGGGCCACGCCCCCAATGTGCCCTACGTCATGCGTCACTTCCGGTGACGTTCTGCCGGCGTGCGCTTCGCGCTTCACACGCACATCCGCAGCCAGCTCCCAGACCGAGCAGACGCTCCCCCGCCGGTGAGTAAATAAGACTTGGCAACCCTAATAAACTTTATAAAGGTAGCACAGATATAAACTTTATAAAGGATACAGAAAGACTCAGTTAAAGAATACATATATATATATATATATATATATACTTAAA